AACTTTGGAAATGAGTCTGACTTAGAGCAGAGCATTTGGACCAGATGACTCCAGAGGTTCCTTCCAACATAAAGTACTGTACAAGCTCTTCTTTCTAGCACTCCAGCTTTGGGACCAGCCCACCTGAAGCCAGTTTGCACTTTGTGTGTACATAACCTAGACTTATCCTAAAGAACATTTAAAAGTGATGTTCACATTGCTCTGAGCTTTCAAAAGGGGAACATGGGGTTCTCTGTCCAGGTTAGTAACAACCACAAGTCATAACCTCCTGGTGTCTCTTTCTTGCCCTGAGTGAAAGGAACTGGAAATGTCCCACTGTTTCTTAGCAGACAAGGAGGGGTTTAGACTCTTACCCTGTGACTTTTCACAGACTTTCAATTAAATGAACAGGGAGACTGAACTACCTCATCCTTCCTGGAGCTGACAATTTCAAAGCAGAGTTCTGAGTCACAGTGATAGGAGTGGTGCAAAGGAGCCTTCCTCTCTCCCCACACTGACTCATCAGGGCTTTCATTTCCCACTCCAGTCAGGAAGCCAACACATTCTATGACAATTAAATTTATCCTAACAAGAAGACTTCGAAAGCTTAATTAAGCTCTGAACTGTGCCTAAGCAGTGAACTTACATGATGTGAACCCTGACATGGATGCTTGTCAGTCTGTAGCTGAAATCAGCTCCCATTTATTTCTTGGTATTGGTGATGACTCCTAGAAGGAAAGAAAGCCCTGAAATTTTCCTCAAAAGTTTTTAATGCTAGTTTGTACAACTTTACTGTATTTTGTTATGTGGCAGGCTCAATTGCATTGCAGCTGGGATTTTTTGTTTTGAAGTAACATTCAGGTTAGCATGTTGCATTCTTGTAGTCATTCTAATTGCTGAAAATACATGTTGGTTTGACTAGGGTGAACTGAGTCACTTAAAATAGATTATTACCATAGTTATTTTACCATAAATAGTACTCTCATTGTCAGCAATAAAAGTTGAGAATCATGGTTTGTGACTGATACCTTCCATGACTTGGAAGTCCCTTTACCTATCAGTATCTTTGTTTTTCAAGACCCAAAATGAAGGAATGGTACCTATCTTTCCAAGTAGTTTTATTGATCTGTGTACCAAAAAAAAGAGCCCACTCCAAACTGTTATACCAGAGCTCTTTGTTAACGAGTAGCTCTTCAAAAATTTCTGCTAAGAATCATTTGTTCCAAGACAAGCTGAAATACACAAGTGTGACTATATAGGCTTAAAATCAGTAAAGAAGCACTTTCATCAGTAAAGAATAAAGGAATTACATTTAAGTTACAATTTGATTTAAAATGTCATCTAAATGGGCAACATGGGGCTGTCTTCACAGTCACTTCAGAAATTTCTTTTAAATATTGTTCCCATACAAAACATTCCTCAGATATTTAAAATTTGTGGAATATGTAATATCCCAAGATCTATTACATCCCTGCAAAAACAGGTGTATGAAAACCCTGCCTTTAATTTGTATAAAGTAGAACCTTTGAAACAATCACCACCAGGAGCAAGCTCTGGTATCTGTGAAATACTTACAAGCAACATACTTAGGAGATTAAAAACTGCTCTTTTTGAGATTCAGCCTGCCTTGAAGTGAAATCTAATAAGCTAAAGGAGTGTCTTGGACACTTTCAGGTGCTAACAAATGTCTAGAGTTAGGAATAGATCTGAGTGAGCTCTAAGGGTAGGTTTACCTTTCTTGTCCACTCCAGGATGTCAAAACTGCCATATCAGGCTTTCAGTGCATGGAGAGAAACTTGCTCATCCATCTTTAAAGCAATAATATTTTTTATTTATAACATTACCCTAGTGAAATTTTAAAATGAAATTACATGGAATACAAATAACACCAAAATTTCTTTAATATCCCAAATCATGAATAGAAGCATGTCTAGACTCAAATACAAACCACCTTTTATAGCAAAATTCAAATCCTCTTCTGTTCCCTGCCAAACGCTGAGTTCAGTCCCCGAGGGCCTGAGCAGGGTTTCCTTGGCTACAGCAGCTGGCACTGGCAGGGCAGGGAGTGCCGCTCCTGGCCGTGGTGTGCCGGCTGATTTCATCAGCTAACACAGGTCCTGACAGGTGCAAACACTTTCACTTCACTTCAAGCACCATAAAACCTTTGGTGCATGATTTGGGAGATTGGGAACTAACTTTTTGATCTAGGAAGGGCTGGGATCAGGGATCCTGATTGTAATCCTCTAGATCTGTTAGTAATCCTTCAATGCACTTCTTCTAAACATAGAAGTAACATTTGTTCTGAAATGAGTTCTTGGTGCATACTGAATTTGCCAGACATTTCACTTTGAGTCAAAGATATGACAAATGTGCTTCCTAGCATTTTCATGTTGATTTATTCTTCCTCACAAAGGACAACTTCATAAAGAGTTTGAACCAGATCCATGTTCACACTTTACATATGCAACATTTTTGTGGCTGACAAAGCTGGCTTCTCAGGCAAACTAACTTGGAAATAAAGTCAAACCAGAGAAGGGCATGCTGAGACCCTTATACTCCAATGGCTATTTTTTTCCAACTAATCATCATTATTATTACAAGTAGATATTTACCCTTAGGTGCATTAGGCAGATAATTCTGACTCATCCATTTAATGGATGTTGTCCTCTTAGGTTAATGATTATCACTTTTGTATGAAAGCTTTGCTAATTCCTATAACTACATAGGATAGCCATTTTAGTACTTACCAGGTGACATCAGTGCTGACATAACCTTTCCAGTATTGTTGGTTGGAGCTTGTGTCACGACACTGGTGTGAATTATGGCTGTCTTGAGGATAAAAACCTTTGTAAAACACAGATGGTCTGTAGGAAAAATAAATTGTAATGACGGTCTTCACACCACACATTCAGCCTTCTCTTGCAGACTCTTTCCTTTATCATTGCCTCATACTCTTAGGTACCTTTTAATCAAGTATCTAAAACATAATTTCTTGTACAGACCATGTTCTATAATAAAGATTCTAACATGCAATTCTGAAAAATACCTCTGCTACCAGCATTATCACAGCTTCTCATTGGCCTCCCCCAGACTTCCTTAGAAATGTATCACCATTACTTCCAGACAGCTGATTTTTTTTACTACTTCTTTGAAAGAACGATGAAAGCTGTGTAAGCTCATTAGCAGAGCATGTGTGTAGGCTTAAAATTACAGATAATAGACATATGGTTGGAAAGTCAGTAATTCCTTTACGTATTTGCCAAGACTTAGGTCAAGGTTCAGGGTTTCTTTTGCTCAAAGTGGTGAAATCAGAAATACCTCCAGGTGTTCTGGGGAGGGCTTGCACTGCACATGCAAGACAGGTGATGAGGCACAGTTATCTCAGTTCCCTTCTGCAAGAGCAAGCCATGTTTATTCTAAATTGCACCCAATTGTGATGTGCTTTTCTTTTTGTACTATTTTTGTAAAAGTCCATCCTTTTTCTAATAGTTCTTGGTGTTTTCTATGCACTCTCATAATCTGTTATCTGTAACACAACAGTAAATTCATTGTAATAAATTTTGATGTCACAACCCTGGCTCTTCATGTCAGTGAGATTAACAGTTAATGTATTGGAAAATATTTGTGTGCTTAAAAGTAATCATAATAAAAAATAAATTACCTCCTTCCTACTCAAGAGTCACAGTCCTCGTATGTCACATCAGTATTTGTAAAACCATTTCATTAAAAGTAAAGTGACATAAATGTGTGTAAGAAGTCAGGTATTTTACAAAACAATTCATCAAAAGGATGATTTTTGCCCGGGTTCACCAGCTGTTTCTTCAAGATCATGGTTCTTCAGTTTTTGCTGGTAACAAAGCCACAAGATTTAAATCCAGATCCAGGCTTAGATCTAGGAGAGGCTGTGAGGATTGGTGCAGTTGTACATCTAGATGGCATCAGCCTGGGGAGCTAGAAGCAACAGTGAGGGCAAAATCTACCCTTGCCTTTGTGTTTGCCCTCTTCCAAATGTGAAAGGCCAGCTCTGCCGGAGGAGTTGCATTGTCTTGACAAATGGGTCTTTGTCTGGCTGAGTGAGAGTGCCACTGATTGTTTGAGATGTTAACATGGGCACATTGTCACCACTGCCCAGAGTGAGGCCACTGGCTGCTGCATGAGGACTACCCTAGAGCAGTGTGACAGCTCCCCAATACACCAAACCTGGTCTGAGTACATTTTGCTCCTTCCAAATTATTTTTTATACACCTTGGAATATATATTCAGATACTTTTTCAGATACTTTTCAGAATATTGTTTTAAAACCAAATGAAAAATATTTTCCTTCTTTAAATCTTTCAGCAACTTTGTAGGTGAAGTTATTTCTTACTGTTCTTATTTTGTTGTCACAGTTGCTCATACTGATTTTTAAAGAATTATGGTCTGTGTGCATGAGTGTGTGTCACCCTTGCTAGTCCATGTTAGAGAAAGCAGCAGTAAATGTTACTGTATCTGGGGACTGCAATAATTTGTCATTTTGCATTGACTTAATTTTGCACATTTTTCTGGAAGCTGAAATTGAATGATGCTATACTCCATGTTATACTCCTAAAATTTCTTTTATCCAGGTTCCCTCTATCACGAACAACATAAGTGTGTGAATATGATGAATATGATGAATATGAGCATCATATTGCTCATGTGGAGCAATCCCAAACTAAAACCTATTTAAGATTTCAAACCATAACAAGTCTAGATTAAGTTATTTTTTTAGAAAAGTGCTTGTGCATCTGGCAGTGGAATTTTGTCTTAAATAAGCAGTGTTAAAGATAAAGAAGTAATTGTTTTAGAGGTGGACTGTGAAAGGGAGAATCCATATTCATCTTATATAAGAATGTGTTTATGTTCATTATTTTCATTTTCATTTATTTTCATTGCAATTGACCAGAAATAGCCATTTTCTATGCCGTTATTTTGAAGTGTAATACAAAATTCAAGATAACTCTTTCCATTTTCTTTTTCTTTTTTTTTCTTTTATTGACCAGTTAATTTAGGTGATGGGATAGAATACAGCCAGCAGAAGCGTGAAAATATTGGAGTTCTCATCCAAGAGACACTGCAACTCTTTGAACGCTACGGAGGAGAAAATGCTTATATAAACATTAAATACATGATTCCCACTTATTGGTCGTGCATGTAAACTGAGTTATATTAAATGGGATGATTCCATCTGTGCTCTAAAAAACTGTATCTGACTCTGTATGGCATCTTGTTAGTCATGCTTTATCTTCTCTACAGCTGCTAAAATAGTGGCTTCTGGGGCATTGGAGTGTTAGCACTATTGTGAGCAAGGCTTTCCAATACATAAATAGTGTCTGTTCCTTTGATTACAATGGTGTACTGTGCTTGTTTGTTCCCTGAAAGAATCACTCCTTTATAACAGAGCTGACTCGAACAGGAATCTGAGTTAAACCTTCACTTGTGTAGACAATAAAACTATAATTTTCATACGCGATTCAGCAATCGCTGTTCTGTGTCCGCTTGCCCTGAGGGTGATGTCAGAGGCTGTAACAAGAAGAGTTTATGCTGACTGCTTAATAGGTGTTTGTCATGGAAGAGAAACACCAGTTCAGCAATGCCTCTCTGGCAGCTGTGCCGAATAATGTGCACTGACATACAATAAAACTGTTGAATGTATATACCAATTGCAGCAGGAAAATTTATATTTTCCATTATAAGGCAGTGTCGTTAAATTAATCCAGGTTTCTTGCACACTCCTGTTCTCAGCTTCCTGAGAGGTGTTTACTCATGGAACTTAGGTTCCTCTTGGTAAACATAAGGCACAAGCACAGTTTTGAAGAAAAGAAGCCCAGGAAAAAAAAATTTAATAAATCAGACAGAAGATACACCATATATACAGTATCAGTCCCTCACGACGCTGGTAATCTGGGTAAACACAGAATATACACGTACATTTTTAAAGGGCACTTGGTATTTTTGTAACTGCAAGGTTGCTATTGCTTTTCTGTTGTTATTATTATGGTGTGTATGTGTGCAAACAATGTAACTATTGTTATAGGAATCTCTTACAAATTCCTACTCAGTTAGTTTCTCCCTGTGTACCCATAACACAGAACTGATATAGTCATGGATTTAAGCAAAGCTATTGAGATTGGCTTTATTGCTTTTTAAGCATTTCTGTGGAATAAACCTACAGAAAAAAAAATAAAACCAGTCTTACAATTCTCAAAGACAACCATTTAAAATTATTGAGTCAGCTCGAAACAAACCAGAGATATTAACTTTGCCTAAAAACATGAGATTTTTTAAAGTACTTTGAAAGACTTTGGACTCATCTGGCTTTCATAATGTTTTCTGGAGCTCTTCAAATGTATGCAAGTTGCACTTTCAAGTGTTTCAGTGTAGCTGTTAAGAGCCTGAAATGCACTCTTTGGTGATAGACTCAGGAGACTTTTTTCAAGTGCTTATCCATATCCATATCCATATTCACACTTTACAAGGCTTGTCCAAGTGAGAGACACAGCCCCTACGCTGCCCTGCTCTCTTGGATGCTTGCTGGAAGTGTGGTGAGCACCTTCCCACCTGCTGGAACTTTGAGCCATATCTGTCATTGTATTGACATTAGAACTTGTCTTTTTCTGTTCTGTGGCATCTTCAGCTGGAGGATTTTCTTTTACTTTCTTCTCTTTCCTGTGAAGGGAAAAAAAAATAAGATTTTTACTCTTCCAATTCTTTGAGGAGCTGCACCTTCAAGTGTTGCCACCAGCTATGAGCACTCACCAGCCCCTGGTTTAGGCACGGCTGCTGGAGGCGTGCCTTTTTCCCAGGCCCCAGAGGCATTTATTTTCTGTTTGTTTGTTTTGTTTTTTGGGTTGGGTTTTGGTTGCTTTTTTTTGGGGGGGGGGGGTTTTTTTGGGGGGTTTTTTTGGTTTTGGTTTTTTTTTGTTCTTCCTGGGTTTTACACAATTTTTCCAAAGCTACCCTCGAGTCCCTAGAGTTGAGACAAGGTCTGTCCTGTCCCAACATACAGCTGTGATGGGTAAATACACCCACACCTCCCTCTCATGTCTAGGGTGTCGACAAATCTTTCACTTTCCTGGCAGAAAGGGAGGTGAAGCCTGGCTGTAGGCCCATGCCTCTGGAAAATCCAGAGCTTTGTCTTCAAACCTTGCAGCACAGAGGCTAGCTGGATAATGCAGGGGGGCACAGGCCATGTCTCCTCTTCCAAAAATGCCTTTCTACACAGCCACACTGGCAGTATCCACACAGCCTTTGCTTACAGCTTCTCCCCATTTGCCTTGCCTTGTCCCTGGCAGCACTGAGCCATACTTTTTCCTTGACTGACGTCTATGGATTTGGTAACTGTGGCATTGCAGGTTTCCCATGAGTACAGACTGTGCTGGAAAACTGCAGCTCAGAGGGAGCTGAGTTATTCAGCTCAGAAATAAACCAAGCCCTTCATAAAAGGAGAATTCCCAGGCCACCTTTCACTCCTCAGCTATTTGTATTCTTTCCTTAAGAGAAAGTCCAATACTGCTCTTTGCCTGAGATCAAAAAGCTCCTCAATAGCTGGCTTCAGTCCCCTGACGCTGGGCTCCAGCCACAGAGCCACTCGCAGGAGGGACTGTGCAGGAAAGGGCTCTCAGCCCTGGGTTTTCCCCATCCCATCACCCCTCCGCATTCCCAACAGCTCTGCTGGGGACGAGAAGTTTCAGGCTCCTCAGCAGCCTTTGTAATTCTTTTCCTCAGCCCCCTCTTTTTGCATGCCCTCCCCTTCAGCTCAACTAGGACGAGACTGCTGACTGACAAAGGGACACCATGGAAAATGGGTACTTTGTGAAGCTGCGGACTTGCCCGGGCCTGATGCCCTCAGCCTTGGGCTCTTTCTTGAAGATTTCTTTCACAAGACATAGGTTCAACAAGGGGTGACCTTATGGCAAACCATAAGGGCAATAGAGGTCATGCATATTCACATCAGGAAAAATAAGTTTTGTAGAAAAGTGCTTTTATTTGCATGTTCAGCATGAGAGCATTAGCCTCCATCAATACTATTGCAATGTGTGGTCCACTGATTTAAAAGTGAACATTCTCCCATAACCTCATTATTTCTAGGAGCTGGACTGATAAAAAGAAGCATGATAAAACCCATAGGTTGGTAATTCTGAAACACTAAGAATAAAACTATTTTAAGATGTAATTTTACTAAGTTGAACTGTAGGCCTTCCAACCTTGACAATGTCCCTTTAAGCATGATCAGCAGCATATTTATGGGCAATTACTGCACAGCTCAGAGCACTTTATAAAGCACAAGATCAAGGACTCAGGTGCTTAAGCATACAAGTAATAGTATGTCATTCAATACACTGCTTAGCTATCTTACTATGCTGAAAAATAAAAAAAATATGGTTAAGGAATAGTAACTGCCTCTCATTTGATCAGATCATGTAATTGTGGTCACTGATGCTAGGGGCAAGCCAATCAACAATTTTTAATTGCAATCAATTAAAAGGTGCTCTGGGCCAGGTGTTTCAAGGGGTATAAATTAAGTGAAAACACATTAAGCCAAATTTGGCTGAAGAGGTGTGCTTTGTGCCTTGTTCTGTGGTCTTCTGCTGCTTCCTAGCTCTTCAGTCCTGGTAAGGTAAGGAGCACCAGTGAATGAATATGTGGGAAGTTAAGTTGTAAGTGTTGGTTTTCTGAAACTACCTGTTTGAAATATCTCCAGTTTATCTTAATAATTGTGTTAGGTTGGCTGGAAACTCTTTAGCTTGAAGAAGAAAAAAGCATATGGTAACATTTGGGGGGGGGAAATGTACCTTTGGCTACCTTTGTCATGCATGATCCTGAAAACAAGCATCAAATAAAATATTTTTTAGATGATTCCTCCCCGAAGCCGTGTAAGGGAGCTCTGTAACAGGTGTCAGTGTTCAGGGCACTCTGGCAGGTTGTGAGTGCTGGCAGGTGCTGCAGAGCAGTCGCTGTGCAAGCTGCTGATGCACTGGGCACTCCGAGCTGCCCAAGTGAGGGTGAACAGGGGCAGGGGTGGCTGGGGCTGCCCCCAGGCTCTGCAGAGGGGCAGAGCCTGGCAGAGGATGGAGCAAGAGGCTGCCAGCACTGGTGGCAGGGAGCCGGAGCCAGGCTTCTCGCTGGTAGCTTTCCAGTGTTTCAAAGAGACGGAGCTGCCAAAAAAAGTTTGAAAAGAGCCTCCCAGGAGTCAAATACAAAAGGGCTGTGGGAAGTTGTAAGTGGGAGGGAAGGTATGGGACCCTAGCTGAGAGGGTGTTTGTGCGTGGGGTGCAGGGAGGTGTAGCTGCAGCCAAGCAGGGCAAAAATAAAACGTTAGAGCAGACACTATGTGCTTTCCTAATCCTGTCTGGAGACCCTCTGACTTCCAGAGGAGCATTCTCCAGTCTGAGGGGCTCTGCAGGCAGTGGGGCACATCACATTTTTCCACTCATCTGTAACATCCTGTGTTTTCTGCCTTAAATAAAAGCAATGATGTTTGTGGGAACTCCATATAAAGCCTGTCTGCTCGCAACCTCTCAGAGCTGCTTTGTGCCTCCTGGAGACCGGGAGAGGAAGGTTTGTGCCCTGGCAGGACAAGACGTTCCCCGCACTGGCCCCATAATCCTTCCGGCATGAGAGGGGAGGGAAGGGGAGTGTGTGTGGTGGGGCATATCTTAGCTGCTCTTGTTCTTGCCTAGCAAATCCAGCCTGGGTATGGCTGGGGGGCTCCTTGCTGAGAGCTCTCCCCTCCTTGGACAGCGCGTGGTGGCTTCTGGTGAGGTGGGTGGAAGCCTGTTTGAGCAGAGAAAGCAAACTGCAGCCTCAGGGAGGTAAAAGTTTGTTTCTTGCAGAGCAGGGAGTCAGCTTTGTGCTTCATGCCCCGTTTGTGATGCCACAAGCCAACAAATACTTTACTTTTTACGAATGTCACTCAGGAGTGAGTTGAGCAGCTGTCACAATGCCCAGCTCACAAGCCCCTGTGCTCTTGGTGTGTGTGCAGCAGGACAGGGTCACCGTGCCCAGGAGTGGGTGACACCGCTCCCCTCTCTGGGCTTCCCCATTAGCAGCAGAAGCACCTAACCTTGGCCACCCTGCTGTGGCACTTTCCAACCAGAAATGTGCCCTTCCTCAAGGGGGAAAGGAGATTTTTTTTTTTTTTTTTTTTTGCTAACAGAGCCCCTCACATAGAGAGCAAAAGCATTAAGCTACAGAAGAATGGGCACCTTCATGGAAGAGAAAGCTGAGGGCACAGCCATGTTGGTAAGGCTGTCAGAAAGGGCATTTTTGGGACCCTGCTCTCACTGCTGTGGGTACCCATGCACAGGAACCTTCTGCATT